ATCGTAATACAGAATCTCTGTTTTGATATTTTTAAAATTGACTTCAAAGCAAATATCTCTTCATGGTAAATCTCAAGACAATACCTAGGCATAGTAGTACGAGATGGAATATGATAAAGGTTAAAGAGTTCCCACAAAGTTTCTAAATTAATATTTTTCAGCAAAAATGAAGGGTTGTTCATCTATAACTATCATACGAGCTAAAGCCCCCTTACATGCCTCTAGATCAAAAGACATCATTTGGCTGACTTTTCTGTTAAAAAGCTAATCATGTCTGGCTTGTCCCCGCCTTGTGGGGGATTATTCGTACAATTTAGCATCATATGTGATAGCAAATAGCTTGTACCGTAATTTTTGGTATTAACTACATATTCTTCTTGCATTTCGCCTTTTTAGCACTCTCGGCATGAGTGGACTTGTTGAAGTGGCTCCAAGCAACTAATATTTCTTTCATGAATATTATTGTCACGACCCAAAATTCACTAGTTGTGATAGCGCCTAACCCAACCCCCTAGGTAAACCAACTAATAACTATCCAACCTCAATAATGCTAATAGGTCAATTAAACATAAATAAATTATCCGAATCTATTACATTTCCCAAAGACTGGTAGAACAAATCATGAGCTTCTAAGAATAGAGTTTATAAAGCTGATATGAAAAGAGTACATCTTCTGTTTGAAAACTACATAAACAGAGTTTTAGAATCTAAGGCTACCATGAATAAGAGGCAGCTACAGTAGGAATGTAAGTACGCCTTTAAATCCAGCAACCATCGAACACAGCAACATCGACATTTGGGATCTGCACGCAATATGCAGGAAGTGCAGTATGAGTACAACCGACCCCATGTACTCAAAAATAACAAACCTAACTTCAGGTTGAAAGCAGTGACAAGCTAGAACATAGGTCGGGTCCAACACAAATAACCATAACAATTCATACAACGTAGAGCATATGGACAAGGAAATAATCTCAGAGGTAAAAATGTTTAACTTTTACATAGTTTTTTCGAAAATAGTTATGCTTTTCAAGAATATCAGTGAAAACCCAAATCCTTTATTGAAATCATCGAGAAATCATAAGATAGTTTGAAAATTGTAATTTTCTTGAAAGAACCTTTCCACAATAAATAAACATGCTTCATTTCCTTTCCAAATAACAAGTGTGAAATACCACTCTATGTCCACATACCAATGTTTAAAAGTCATGAATGATATAATACCATACAACATGAGGAAAAATGTGTCTCTATGCATGTATGCCATATATGCATGCCAAAGCTATGTATCTCATAGATGAATCATGTACTCACACTCTCAGAATACTCAACCTCACTATATCACACTTTCCATTCATCATACTCAACCACTCGGTATTGTATATGACCCATTTGGCCCAGGGAAGATCCATCCCAGAATATATACATCACTGACCATCAGTCACTCAGTACCGAGGAAGGCCAATCCGACCCCATGGAGAAGATCCATCTCTAGATATATAATGCTTCTGACAAGATCCATGTCTAGAGAAGATCCACACCTCAATATAATCAACCGCACCCATTGTGGGTGTGCAGATTACGGAGGGACCCCTACGTCCCAAGCGCTATAACAAGCCAATCATGGCATAAATAAATCATGCCCTCGGCCTTACTTAATAATCAATAAAATATGCTGTGGTGTGCAACCCGATCCCATAACTGTCACTCATAATCAGGCTCTCGGCTTCACTCAGTCATCAATCTCTCCAGTCTCACCCACGGGCTCACAATATCATGAAAACTAAACCGAAACAATGATATGATGTATCAATAAGTAACAGCTGAGACTGGGATATGATATGAATGCATGAATGTGACTGAGTACGAAATATCAATGAATTCAATTACACGACAGCAAGGAACGACCACTATGGGTCCCAACAATATCAGCATAAGGCCTAAACATGATATCTAGCATGATGTACATCTCATTTATTTTATCACATGGTGAAAACACAGATATCAATAAAATAGGGCCATTATTCAGTTCCCTGGAAACAACAGAGTCACAATTCATAGGTGCATACCCACACGCCCGTCACCTAGTATGTGTGTCACCTCAACATCAATCACTTAGCACGTAATTTCGGGATTTTATACCCTCAACACTAAGTTTAGAAGGGTTACTTATCTTAAGAAAGCCAATTCTGACACCGAGCAAACCAAGCGATGCTCCATGAATGCCATCACGTGCGATATGACCTCCGAATGGCTTGAAACCAGCCGAAAGCAATTCAAATACATCAGACCAAGCCTAAGGAAGCAACTACCAATGATAAAGATCGAATCCTAAGTCAAATCCCAAATTCGGCCAAAAATCACACCCAGGCCCATGCCTCGAAACTCAAGAAAACTCACAAAATCTGATAACCCATTTAGTTATGAGTCCAACCATACTAGTTTCACTCAATTTCGACTCCAATTCGATGTTCAAAACTCAAAAATTTATATTATGAAACTTTAGGCCAAAACCCCCAATTTTCTCTTTAAAATTCATCAACCAAAAGCTAAAATCGAAGATAGATTCATGAAATATAACCAAAACCGAGTAGAGGACACTTACCCCAATTCATATGGTGAAAATTGCTTCAAGAATCGCCTCAATCCGAGCTTCATAGCTCTAAAAATTGTAAAAATGACCGAAGCCCTCGAAATAGAGTACTTTATACTTCTGCCCATATATCCTCTTTCGCGAACGCGGTATAACCATCGTGTTCGCGATAAACAACAATGACAACCACCAAAAATGCTCTACGTGTTCGTGACACAAGCCTCGCGAACGCGATACACGCTGGAGACATCTCTATGCGAACGCGATACACACTGGAGACATCTCTACGCGAATATGACACAAGCCTTGCTAACGCGATGAAAAAAATTCCTGTAGCTCCAGCTTCCAACTCAACTATACGCGAACACGATCTCTCATACGCGAACGCGAAAGAGACTAGCCCTACCCTTCGCAAACGCGAAAAAGACTAGCCCTACCCTTCGCGAACGCGGACCACCATTTGCGAACACAATTTAGAAATTGCCACTGCCAACAAAATATACTACGCGTTCGCGACAACAATTTTTAGTTGGATAATTTTGGACTTAGGAGCGTGAATAGATTATGATTTGGAGGTCCGTAGTGGAATTTGACATGAAATGGCGAAAGATGGAATTTTGGAAAGTTTGACCGGGAGTGGACTTTTTGATATCGGGATCGAATTCTAATTTCGGAAGTTGGAGCAGGTCCGTAATGTCAAATATGACTTGTGTGCAAAATTTGAGGTCAATCGGACGTGATTTGATAGGTTTCTGCATTGGTTGTGGAAGTTTGAAGTTTCAAGGTTCATTGATCTTGAATTGAGGTATGATTTGTATCCAGATTAAATATTGTTACAAATTTGTATCCAGATTAAATATTCAACTTCCACAACATTAAATATGAATCTGGTTCCAAAAAATGAAACACGACCTAACCCTAAAATTAAAGTCTAGTATTTATATATGTCCTTATAATTTCAGATTTCAAATCAGATTAGATTAAAATTATACCAATCTGAATCCTACCTCAATATCTAAACTTTTAAAAAATATAACTCATATCTCATCCAAATATCTAAAATTCGAAATCCAAAAATTCGATTAGGGTAGATCGGTTCGAATTCTCGGACATCTAATCCAAATACACATCCCTAGTGGAAGTTGGAACCCACTAGAAATGGTTAGATTCTGGCCAAGATATCAATAAAAAGTTTACGGCAACATACCCTTTTTTCTCTCTTCCATGTTCGGTTGGACTAAATTAAAATCCAAAAAATATCTTATTACAAACACTTGTGTTCTTATATGAGGCATTTAATAGAACATTGAGTTTATTTAATAAGTAAAAAACAAAATAAAATAAAATTCATGCCTAAATTAAATTTATTAAATAAAAGAAAACTTCACACATAAATTAAATGTATTTAAAGTACGAAAATTGGCTATACTAACAGTGATTATATAAGTAATGATGGGTATTTCATATGTTTTTTTAATTCTTTTTATCCTAATAAAACAATGACATTTCTATATTAAGTAAGTTCAAACAGATCATGTCATTAGAATTAGAATTAAAATGTGTCAAACCTCAAACTTATATCATCTTTTAACAGTTTGTTTGGATGGTTGTTATGTCTCGTTTTATAATGTATCATATCGTATTGTATTGTATTATATTGTTATTGTTTAATATAATATTTGGATAGAATATATTGCTTGCTGTCCTTTTATGATATCATGCACCTATAATATGAAAAATAAACTTGTAACTACAAAAAAGAGAGATTAAGATACAAGGTAAAATTATTATATAAAAAGATAGTATATATAAAGAATAAAATATAATTATTTAATAATAAGCTAAATCGATCGTGATATTTTTTATCGTTACATAACAGTGAATTTAAATATATAATATAATAAAATTTAAATAATAATTAAAATAACAATATAATACAATACAATAGATAATTACAATCCAACCAAGGTGTTAAAGAACAAACTAAAATGGAAAAGTAATTCACGTAAAATGGGGTAGAACTATTCCCTTCGTCTCATAATATGTGTCGTGGTTACTAAAAATAGTTATTTCAAATTATTTATCATTTTAAAAGTTCAAAACAAAATTAATTATATTTCTTCTATTTTATCCTTAATAATTAATTATCTATAAATAAATTATTTATGGAAATAATATATAAATTAAGAAAATATTTAATAAAAATAAAGTAGTCAAAAACTAATCTTTCCCAACAGAATCACGACACAGAGGGAGGGAGTAACATTTGCCAGCCTCGTAATGATGCATGATGTTCCCTCACATAAATGGAAGCAGAAGAGGATTTGACTTTTGTTTGATTAAGAGAAGAAAACAATAAAAAAGAAAAAAAAAGGTAAAGAAAGAAAGAGTGAAGGAACGATAATAATTATTCAATCCGACGGAATGCAAATTTGACGTCCGCAGAAACTCTCTAACTTTCTCTCTCTAAAAAGGACAGCGCAGAAACAAAAAAAAACAAAAACCAAAGCCCCAACCCAACAAGTGAAACTTGGTTGAATGAACTTATACATACATGCTTATCTGTATGTATATGTATCGATATCGATATAGATACATAAATATATATATTTATAAGCTGATTGTGACTGCGTGCTTTGGTAAGCAACCCTTTTCCCCTATAGGGATGTATTTATATATTTTTGAGCTTGGTACCCTAGGTGTTGTCGATAATTTGAGCTGTGGATCTTGTCCTTTGTACTTTATTGCGTGATTTAGGGCTCGATCAAGTGAACATGTAACTTATGAATCGCTAATTTTTAATTTGTTTTTAATTTTCTACCGTCGAATTGTTTACTGTAGCTTAGTTATTTTGGAGGTAATTTTCATTTTTTTTAGTTTGAGGGTGAATTTTAGTGATTTTCTATCTTGTTCGTGTTTTAGTGTATTCTACTCTTTTGGCTGCTTTATTAGATTAGTGATTAAGTATG